ATTACATCTTGGATAGTCCTGGTGGGACCCGGTGTGGGCACTGACAGAAGAGAGGAGTGAATGGGTGGAAAGATACCTCAGTACTTGTTACTTCAGCAAGGGGGCAATGGTCTGAGAACTGGCGGAGGTTTGGGTTCCATCAGGTAGCCCCTGTATGTTCACATCCTTATGACTTACAGAAGAAGTTGGTTTTTCCCCCACATAGCCATGACTGTTTGTGGCTTACCGGGAAAACATAGTAGTCTAGGTTAACCAACCTGCATCTGGCTCGCGTGTCCCTACATCCATAATGTTTGTTTCTATTATCTATGGTACGGAAGGAATTTAATGGAATTTTAGTGGGATCCTCTTCATCAGGGATACCCAATAGGAAAGACCTATAGCCAACTGACGAATGTCTGGGTGGAGAGATGGCCATCAGGTCCCTAAGAGGGCTGTATGTGAGATAGATCATACTTTCTGTCCAGTAGGATTTATGATCAACCATCGCTGCTGAATGGGCTGATGAGGGTTAGGACTTCTGGTGGTCAGGGGGAGAATCCATAGCCTTATCCACACGGCGAATACGAAATTTGAGAGGGTTACCAGTTTTTTTCCAATTTCCAGCCAGAGTCTGGACAGGGCGCAGGCTTGAGATGAGAGGCATGGATCCAGGAAGTGATTCTGTCTACCTTTACCGCTGTAGGTGTTATAAGTAGCACCTGGTATGGTCCTTTCCAGCAGGGTTCTAGGGATGACACCTGATGTCGTCTTACATAGATGAAGTTTCCCACTTGATATCGGTGTGGAGTTCCTTCATCCCCAGGTTGGTAGGCAGTGGCCAGCTGTTTCCACAGGTATCACTGAGTTTTTTCAAAAGTTTTAAGTTTGTCAAGCAAGGGGGTGTGAAAGGAATCCTTAGGTCTTAGAGTTGGGGTCAGGTCCCTTATTGGAGGAGGGGCATCATAGAGAATTTCATAGGGGGTGAGGTTACACAAAGAAACAGAGGGAGTATTTCTTGCACGAAAGAGTGCATAAGGCAGGAGCATAGTCCAATCTTTTATGCCGGTCTCCAAGCTTAATTTCATCAAGGTCTCTTTAATGGTTCTATTCATTCTTTCTACCTGTTCTGAGCTCTGGGGTCTATAAGCGCAATGTAACCTCCAATTAATCCCCAGGGTCCTGGTTAACCCCTGACTTACCTGGGCCACGAACGCCGGTCCATTATCAGACCCTATTACCTTAGGCAGATCGTATCTTGGAAAAATATCTTTCAGGATCTTTTTGACCATCATTTGTGCTGTTTCTTTTCTTTTTTTTTGTGGGGAAGGCTTCAATCCATCCTGAAAATGTATCTACAAAGATTAGGAGATATTTAAGTCCATACCTTGCTGGCTTAATTTCAGTAAAGTCC